GGGAAATGTGGCTATCCAACAAGGCAGCAGTGAAGCAAGGACACAGCCGAACTGTATACCGGCTTCATCTTCATTCGAACTCATCATTAGAGGGCAATAATCAATGTTCGTTGATGCCACGTGCTTCCGGAAGCCACGTATATGGAGAGGGCTGAAGCCGTGGTACACGCAGGGGAACCCCACTGGTACTGCCTGAAGGTGACGATCATTCAAATCTGTAAATGATGAGAAACCCCATCACAAGAGAACAAAGTAGTGCGGGCCGGAAGAAAAAAAAATACTCCATATAACACAAAGATCTGCATTGCATGTACTGTACAAACACTCTCAGCATTGACCAGACCACCAGCGCAAAATAACTAACGCGTGGGGCCATTTAGTCGTTCAAAACGATCTCCCCAGACGCACTCTCCAGCGCGAGCCGCTAGTCCCAATGTAACTTAAGTAATTGAATCGAAGCTCACGCACACGACATCTGCGACTGTTCCAGCCGGGATGCATGCCACGTGGACCGGCGTTGTGCACCACTGCATTATTCACGAACACACTGTATTGTATTGTGTGTTTGACTGGGGGTGGACGTTTATTTGTGTATTAAAGCGTACTGTGTAATGTTTGTAGCCGTCTCTTTTAAGTGGTTTGCGATGCGCCGATTGATGTCATAGACGCGCTTGCAAACGAGATGAACGGGAATCTCAAAGGATTAGGGGCCGTCCATAAATGACGTCACGCGATTTTGGACGATTTTTGCCCCCCCCCCCCCCCTTCGTCACACGGCGTCACAAAATGTCAGACCCCCCCCTCAAATATGACGTCACAAAGCTCTGCCCCCCCCCAAAAAAAAACATGCTTCAAATCGTTTTAAACTATTGTCATTGTAGTGCGTGTTTAATGTGGCGCTGCACTCTGATGTTGGAGAAAACATTTATTAAAACGTATATTTAATTAAGTAGAACGTGTCGTCTATATTTATTTAAAGTTGCGCATTTTTACGTGACGTCACATTTCTCAACCCCCCCCCCCCCTCGTCACACATCGTCACAAATGTCTGACCACCCCCCCCCAGGTGCGTGACGTCATTTATGGACGGCCCCTTATCCCTAGGTAAAATAAATATATATATGAATACCACATTCCTTAGGTGAAATACGGGGCTCCACTCTCCGTTCTACCCTGGGTGGATGCACACATTTCTCCTCCTCATCTCCCTCCACTGTCTCAGCTGTGAAGTGTTGAACAAATAGAAAAAATCTACGAAAATTTTAAGAGGGACGTCGGGAAAGTTCAGGAGGTTATGGACTGCGAGTAGGGTAAAGGTCAGTTTAAAAACATTTTTAGCAGGTAAAGTTCGCTAAACTACATAGCTCTTTCTGAAGAAGCGACCTGGTCACAAATAATAGCTCAACGAAGTGACTGGTCGTGTGGAAATGTATAGCAGCCAAATACTCTTAACGCGTGATGTTGATTCTAAACGTGGAGGGAAAACCTGAAGATCTGGAGGAAAATCCACACGACCACAGAGAGAGAGAGAGAGACACACAAACTCAAAATATACAGCAGCAGCAGGCGTCAGGGTCGGGATCGAACCCACGACCTCCTGTAGACCAGGCGAGGTAGATAACATCTCACAGTTACCGTGGGGTGCCAGTTGAAATGACAATACTAGTGGCTGATTGGCTAATTGGCAAGGGGAAATTTAAAGGCTAATACGCTGTTCGTGGCTGTTTGGTTAGGTTTAAGCTCAATTGTAGGACTGGTACGAATAGCTGCTTTGTTTTATTACCCTACTCCGTGTTGCTACGATTTGTCCTTTTATTGGGCCAATTCTCTGGCCAGATTCGCATCGTGACGAGTGTAAACTTTAACGTTCTCAAGCTTAGGCCAACGCCTACCATTGACGCCATCACACAATCAGAAATGCGCAGGCAACACGGCCGAGCGATAGGCTTGGGGCCGTTTCGTCTCGACGTGAATCTGACCCCGAGTGTCCGGCAGCGCACAGACGGTGACATCTGCGGGAGAGCTCAGAGACGAGCCAGGAGCTTGGCTCCTCGAAGCCCCCTGGAGTTGAAGCGTGCTGGTGGAGGGTCATACCGCGCCCTCTAGCGTCGGCGGGAGGCACGGGGCCACGCCACACAGAGTCAGTATTCACGCTCAGCTGTCCGCATCACGCAAGAACACCTCTCTCACCTGTCGACGTGACATGGCCACATGTCACCCCCATACCTCTACAGCACCTGTCCGCGCTCGCGGGTGGCTTTATTCTAGGCATTATTAACACAGCTCCATCGTGAAATTGAATGGCTGCAAAGTTTGGTCGTACATGTTGTATACAGTATATCGTTTGTTGTTAAATTTAAATCACAGTTCCTATGATTACTGTTGTTACATTGTTTGTATAGCGTTATTTTGGTGATTTCGAAAACATATGGGTAATTTTAATTGTATTATGGTTGTTATTGTTTGACTTGCATCACACTGGGATTTCTGCACACAGCGGTTTTTTTGTGTGGAAGATTTGCTGGTTTATCCAGGATGTTTCTGTTGCGCGTCGTCGCTTTAAGATGTTCTCCGTTCATATTTTGTTTGTTGCGGTTGCACCCGACTTGAGAGCCGCATGGCTCACAGGGCTATACCTAATAAATTAAACTTGAAACTTGAATGTCGATCTTGTAAGACGAATGCACGTCAGTGATCGGTCAGACGGACCGAGTTTCTGAGTTCACGTGGCCGCTTTTGTCATCAGCGATGGGGGTTCTGTATCTGCGGGGCAGCCGTCACTCGGGGCTGATGGCAAGCTGAGAACCCGGTGTCACTTGAAGTGTCTTGTTGGTCTCATGTAGACGCGTCCACCGGCTTATCCTGCGATGTCGTTTCATGACTTACACAACAGGGGTCGCTGTGCGATTTCAAAACTCTGTCACGAGTGTTGTGCGTTGAACTAAACATTTTTTTTATGTACCAGGTAAAGCCCCCTTAGCTATATGTAGCTATTTTCAGAAGCGATCTGGCCATATATTATAACTCAACGAAGTGGCTTATCACAGTGGAAATGTATTTCAGCCAAATATTCGAAACGCAGGATTCTAAATGTGGAAGCAAACCCTGGAGGACCCAGAGAAAAATCCACGCGACCACGAGGAGAACACGCAAACTCCAAATATACAGCGGCAGGCGTCAGGGTCGGGATAGAACCCACGACCTCCTGCATACCAGGAGAGGTAGTTAACATCTCCTAGCCACCGTGATGATGATGAGAGAGAGAAACACCGCAAACTCCAAATATACAGCAGCAGGCGTCAGGGTCGGGATCTAACCCATGACCTCCTGCATACCAGGCGAGATAGTCAACATCTCATAGCCACCGTGATTATGATGAGAGAGACGCAAACTCCAAATATACAGCAGCAGGCGTCAGGGTCGGCATCGAACCCACGACCTCCTGAATACCAGGCGAGGTAGTTAACATCTCCTAGCCACCGTGATGATGATGATGATAAGAGAGACACCACAAACTCCAAATATACAGCAGCAGGCGTCGGAGTCGGGATCGAACCCACGACCTCCTGAATACCAGGCGAGGTAGTTAACATCTCCTAGCCACCGTGATGATGATGAGAGAGACACACAAACTCCAAATATATCGCAGCAGGCGTCAGGGGTCGGGATCGAACCCACGACCTCATGTGCACCAGGTGGCTTTGTGGGGCCCAGAGGTCCGTGGACCGTGCATTGTGAGCCACTGCCCGACTGCACATCGGCCGTCCTCCTGGTGCAACGTGCTCGAGTCGGGGCACCTCGGGCACAGCAATCCCCATTAATCCGCTCCTTGGCTGCGGATTACCTGGGGGGCGCACCACGCCGCCTGACACTGCACACTCATCTCTCCCTGCTGTCTCAGTCAACGCGTGTTTCTGACTGGCTGATATAAATGTCCACACGATAAGCCACTTCGTTGAGCTATGGTTGGTGGACAGGTCGCGTCGGAAAAAGGTAACTAATAGCTTAGTGGCCTCGACGTGGTAAAATAAAAAATAGTTTAGTTTTAGTTTATGTTATTTCTTTTGTATGATTTTACGTACCTTTCCTATACTTTGTCAATATCTGACCTACTCCGACTGGACATCTGTGAAAAATATCTTAATATCTCATTGAATATCTCGAGGATAAATAAAGATTCTGTTTCTGATTCCGGCCAATGGGGTGAGGTCAGCTAACCTCCCCGCGCGGTGCACCTCCACGTGGCATTCATCGAATCGGCAGGCGGTTCATTATTTCATTGTCTGGTGGTGTCCATTGTCTCACGGTCTCCTGTTTAATTGCGTCATCGTGTTCATTGTTGAACGTTCGCGTGTTTAATCGCCTCGAACGTTTCTCGTTTAATGGCTCCGTGTTTGTCCCGCCGTGTCTGCAATTTGTCAACCTCGGACTTAGATACAAGTACATAGTCTCGCTGATGTCCGTTGTTTCATTAGCCGCGTGTTTAAATTTGTTTTTTAATTGTTTTGTGTTTGTTTCGTTGTGTCTATTGTTTAGTAATAAGAGGGCAGAATATCTGAACCGGTCCCGGGCTTCCTGGTGCGGTGTGTGAGCATCAACAACCAGGGGAGACAAAGGCGGCCGGGCGTGGTTGCTGGCCACCCACCCCTCCGTGAGCCTTCATCATATGTGCTCGCTAACAGCACTTGCCCCGACAGTCTGCTAAGGTTATAAAGGGTGGGGGGGGGAGTGGATTTTTTGCTTTATTGTTTAATAATATATCTATATATATTTGTCGTCGTGTCTACCGATTGCCACGTGCTGGCAAATGTGCGTGTAATTGTCTGGAGCGCTTTGTCCATTGAGAGAGGCGATGAGACCCAGCAGGAGGAGGAGGAGGCGATTGGACTGGGAGAGAGCCAAGCTGGGTCCGCCTCCCGTAAGCTGCTGAGCCCACGACTCCCTCAGTCTCTCCACCACCCCCCCCCCCACTGCCGCCCTCATCCCCCGTCTCATTCAGCATCGCCACCTCCCTCATCCCCTGGGGTTCGTTCCTCGCGCGCGGGGCTCAGAGCGGACAGTGCACAGTCTGTCCGCGCTCCCTCCTCCCCACGCTCTCATCTCTCTCCCTGCCGCGGAATCATCTCGCCACCGCTACGCCTCCAAACCTCGCGTCTCTCCAGCCTTTCCCTCTGCACTCTCTCTCCTCCCCCCCCTTTAACAACGCTCACTCCACTCCTCACTCTCACACAATCACCACCGGCACCACCAACCACGAACCATCATCACCAGACAACAGTAGCGTCGGCAGCACCCTCATTCAACAGCGATAGCAAATATCTATGAGAATATCATCATCATCATCAACTTCATCAGGAGGAGGAGGACGAGAAGCCATGATGCGTTCCCCGTCGCCCGTGCCGGAGTCACCCCGAGTCGCCTGGGCTGAGGAGCGCGGCGACCCCGCGGAGCCCCGCGGCGTTCGCTCGTCCGCCTCTCCTGTCTCCCTCGTCTCGCCGTCTCCTCCCTCCCGAGGGCCCCGCGGCCACGGGAGGGAGGAGCGCCTGGCAGGGGACAGAGACTCGGGACGCGCAGGCGGAGCAGAGTCGCGGGGTGCCGCGATGGAGGAGGAGGAGGCGGCGGCGCTGCTGCTGCTACGCGGGATTTTCACCATCGGAGGCAAGAGCTGCGACGTGGAGCTGCGGGGGAGAGCTCTCTCCTGGAGCCCCATCGTGCCCGAGGCGATGTCCGGCCCGGCCTCCGCGGCTCCAGGTACGCAACCCGATACCTGGCGCGGCGCTTCACCCGACCTGCGAAGACGAACTCGCGTGGGTCTTCGGGCAGGTGGGGGGGGGGGGGGTGCACTTGGTGCGTACCTGGCAATCCGCTCCGCACAGCTCCCGTGAGCTCTGCAGGTGTCGCTCCCCATGCATGCCCGGGGCGGGGGGGGGGCTTCACGGAGTACCCTTCGACGGGGGCTCTGGCCGCAGGTGTCCACACGGGGCCACGGGGTTCTCCGTAGCCCGCGGGGGCCCCCGTGCCTCGCTCAGCACGGCACCAGGTCGACTCGAGCCGCGTGTGGGTGGCGTTGCGTTGTGCACCGATCGCTCTGCGGGAGCGGTGGTGCAGCGGTTAGCGCCACGCTGCGCTACGAACCCGGCCACTCGGATTTCGATTCCCGCTCGCGGTCAACACCACAGTGACGATGATCTGAACCGCTTCAGGGCCTCCCGTAGGTCGACTCCGCCTCAAATGAGTACCTGGTGCGGTGTGTAAAAACATCGCTACTGGAGAGACAAAGGCGGCCGGACGTGGTGCTGGTCACCCACCCCCTCGTGCGCCGTTCCGGCTTTAATAGGTGCTCGCTAACAGCACTTGCCCCAAACAGTTTGTTAAGGCTACACGGGGGATCTTTGTCTTTGTTTTGCTCAGCGATGCTGGTGGAGGCGTCCAATGCGTTATTGAGTAACGACGGCAAACACGCACCGCGAGAGATGTTTACAGCTCGGGTAGTCTGTCATCCAGCAGTGGATCGATCACGCGCTATCGATCATTCCTGACGTTTCTCTCCCGCGTGAACTTGGGCGCCGCATCACGGTGAGCCGCATCACGGTGAGCCGCATCACGGTGAGCCGCATCACGGTGAGCCGCATCACGGTGAGCCGCATCACGGTGAGCCGCATCACGGTGAGCCGCATCACGGTGAGCCGCATCACAGTGAGCCGCCGAGGGCTTCACAAGCGACTGCCACCTGCGGCTGCCGGGTTGGTTGGTTGGGGGATTTGTGAGCGGGGCACGGGGTTAGGGGCCAGCCCCAACCACTAACCCCACCTTGGAAGAAGCCTTGTCCATTCAACAACAACAACAACAACGCCGACGTGGTCATGTTAACCCCCTGTGTGTGTTGTTAATATTTGACCAGAGCAACGGTGAAAGACGCGATCCGTGCTAGGGGGGAGAGGGGCACAGAAATTCCGCGGACGATCGAAGATGAACTCCGAACTCGGCGCTGCTCCTGGGTGCTGGGGGGGGGGTGAGGTTTGGGGTCTGGGGGGGGGTGCTCACCGCCCCACTCACGCGGGGACTGCGAGCGAGCGGGAATCGGTAGGGTTCATAGATGGGTAAGGGCAGGCGAGGAAAGAGGTTACAGAAGTGAACGGTGGTGGAGTGTGGTGGTGGGTGGGGAGGGGACCGTTTAACTCTTTAAAACGTGTTTTTATAATCGCTGCAAAGTTTCTAGTTTCCCGACGTGCAGCACGTGCGTGGTTCAGTGACATTGCCACGCGCTCCGCCGTCTCCAAAGGCCGCTTTGCATCTGGGGCGACACGCGCACACTCGTTCCGAGTTGTACAAACGGAGCAGTCGCGACGTAGTCCCTGGCTCTTCATGGGACCTGCCTTGCCAGCGAGCTCTCAATATCCTGGGAGTGGCATTGCCTTTGCGCTGTTCGCCTTGAGGCGTACTCTGGTCTAAAGCTGTTTGAGGCGAGGCTCAGTCTAAAGAAAGCCGTCTCTGGTGTGGACCAATCAGTTTCAAAGACGATGTATCAAATAGTACCAGAGCATGTTTTTTTTGTTTGCATGTTCACCACAAGTACATGTGGTTAACGCAAACACGATTCTTTGCAAAAGGTTTCAGTTTGGTGTTTTAACACCCTTAACACCTGTTTCATTGCCAGAAAGGGTAAAACCTATTCCTATACTCATGGGTCTTGTTGCCATCTGTCCGGCGCAAACAGTTATATTGTTTGCTGCACTCCCTCCTGTAAGGAGCGTTATTTGCTCAGTCATAACTATGGCAACATCACGTTTGTTATTCATATTAAAATGTTATAAAAAGTGTGATGGATGAGTGTGAGGATTTATTGTTATTTGTGCTTGAGAACCACCACTAGCAATGCAGCAGCAGCAGCACCAACTTAATCGGATGAAATGTTGAACTGCTTTGACCAGTTGCGTCGTTGCCCGTGATGATTTTCAAGACAGTCCTGGGAAAAGAACACAAATCTGCCCCACACACATCGCATCAACCATTGGCAACACTTATTGACATCGTGAGGATGGGTCACAACACATTCCTGTGGAGGGAGCTGGTAGGAACGTTGGGTTGCTCGGTCAATGGCCAGGGTCAACGGCGGCGTGGTGTATTCCGCAAATATGCCCGACTGTGAGGGCGGGCACAAGCCGGCGTGAGTAGGTTAAACGTTGAGTTGTATAAGGGCACCACGGGGTGACCAGCCCCACCCAGCCCCACCCCTCCACCCAGCCCCACCCTCCCTACCCAGCCCCTCCCCACCCTCCCCACCCAGTCCCTCCCTCCCCACCCAGCCCCTCCCTGCACGACGGACGGACACAATAATCCCCTGTGGGCTGGTGTAACCAGGAGGTTCCTACCAGTATTAACACATTTCTGCCATGGTTGTTTCTCTGGCCAGTATTGCTGCTTTGTTTGGTCTCAAACATGTTCCTTGTCTTCTCCCGCTTGGCTGTTCTCCCCTTCTCCTATTTCTCCTTTGTGTGCATTGTCAAGTAGGAAATATTTGGCGATCAGGGGGGGCACTTTGCTCGCGGCAAGCACTGTTATTGTTCGTCATGGCTGTTTGGGTTGGGCCACTGCGTAATAATGTGGCCATAATTATGTTGCTAGACCCTCCGCCACCTGACGCGTCTAAACAAATTAAACTGTCACGTGAACAAGCGTTGAAACGTGCCCCAAGCAAGCTGAGGAATAATTCTCACAATCAGATTTCGCAATCGCTTCATTCTCTGGTAATACATTCAGATAATCCAGTGTTTTTCTACACTGTCTATTTATATTTTCCAATGTAACTGTCCCGCAAGATGCCAACAGGCAGGTGAGGCCCAGACTGGGCCCTTTCTCTTCTGCCCCCACCGTGGTGGTTTCAGCGGCAGCAGGCGAGGCCCCCGCCGAAGAGTGGCTGGACCTCAAGGATGTGTTCGCCGTGAAACTGAAGCGCCGGCGATCCGCCGGACAGACCAAGGGCGGCACCCTGCTGGGCATCACCCTGTTCGTGTGCCGGCGCCGGCAGCGAGGCCACAGCAGGCTGGGCGCGGCTGGGCCGGCCGGCCACGACGAGGGGAAGCTGAAGGAGCAGCCCCTGCACCTGGGCAACTCCAGCGAGGACCACTGCCAGACCTGGTTCTACCGCATCCGCGCCGTCCTGAGCGGTGCGTGCGTTCATCCGCGTGCCCCCCCGCCCCACGCACGCGCCCATCCGCGTGGTCAGTCCCCTGGCCCCTCGCCCCTTGTCCGTCGTGCCAGAGGGCGGCTCGACAATTAGGCCGAATGATCGACTATGAATTATAATCGATCACTTTTTAGTGTGGTCGATTACTAGGGTCTCTTTTTTAAAAATCTATGTAATGTACGTATGTTGAACTTCCTTCGCACCGTACATAGCCAACCGTGCTCATTGGAAGTGTGGGGGACAAGGACAAATTGGTGGCCTCTCCTACATCCTGCCGCCCGAAGGCAGGAAACCCCCTACAAACCATGCCCAGCATGACTCGCCTCCTGTTGTTGGTGACATCAAGAAGTCCCATCCATCACCTCCTGTCCAGCAGCAGCAGCACACGTGGATTGATATTTGTATGATTATCCGATTCTGTTGAGTAATTAAATCCGATAATCGGTAGTTATCGGTTGCTCCGGGAGTCGGGAGAGCCCAGCTCCACAGAGCACACTCGTGTGCCTTTACTCGGTTTCACACTTTGCCAGGCAGAAGCTGGCTTTGATGTTTGCCTCTACAGTCGAATAAGAGCCTTACATTGACATTGAGCTACCATCACGTAATGCCCACGACGACATTTGATGGGTTTGTGTTGGATGGATGCACATTGCGCCCTTCGTTTGAAATAACATCGTAGGATTTTTTGTAACAAATGATGGTGTAGACCGCTGTTAACAAGTGGGCCACGTGTTGGCATGAACGATTTCGCGAGCGAATGTGCGCGCACATCATTTTGCCGCTGCCCGTTTTTCTATTTAGCATTGCACAGGGAAGGTGGAAGAGACAATTGTGCCTCGCATCTCACCACGCTTTAATATATTTACTCAACTGAACGTTAAACTTTTTATCAACATAATACCCTTACAACAAACATTAGTCATTACGGTTTCTACACTCGTAAAACTGACTGAAGTTTCCCCGCGTCCTGCGCAGGCTTGTCGGTCCGTGCGTTCCCCTCTCTGGGCACTTGCTACAATTTAAAAAACTTGGTTGTCTTGGCCACCTAAGTAGGGTTTGCCTGTTTGAACCATTACATCTCATTACCATCATATTCGAAGCGACGACTTTACTTGTCCGTTGCCAATAACTGTTATTATTGGTTTAAGTAGCTTGTCTGCTAAAACGTGATGCACAATGATAAAGATGTAATTTAACTGAAATGTGAGCACGCACAACGAAAGTTGCGTCGATTGTATATGTGGCAATGCGTGGCTAAGAGCTGATAGAACATATCATGTTCGCCTGGCCTCGCTTATGAAAACTGGAAAGAACACTTGGCAAATACCGTAGCCGATTGAATGAACTCGTGGCATTGTTCTGCTTTCAGTTTGCAAATGTACTCGCTTGTTTGTAACCCGAAACCAATTACATTCAACACCTGAAGAGACGCCTTTGATTTTTTCTTTTTCCAGGTGATTTATTTCGTGAAATTGTGACACGCAGCAATGGTGCAGCAATCCAATATAATCACTGCACACTTGGAATTGATTTGGCATCTAAATGGTACTTCATTCCACGCCGCTGTAAACCCACTGGAACGTATTCGTCATGGGATTACGGAGGTGTATATATCCTTTGTACTTTTATGTTATTATTCAGATTACACGCTCCCAGGCAGAGGAGAAGTGAAAAGTCTGGTTCCTGGACTTGCATCATGGCTGGGATTCAAAAGCACTGAGGGCAGAGGGGGAGGGGTTTCAAACTATGGGAGCAGGAGATGGATAGAGGGCAACCTCCCACTTCTTATTGTCGCACGGCTCATGTCGATGCAGAACGGCAACTACATATTTTGCATTTAAGTGATCAAGCAGTGTGCATCGCTGCGATGTCTCCTCCGAATTTGTGGATCGGGCGTTACACGTTATACGGTGTGTTCTGGATGACCACAGTCGCACACTAGAGAGTTTATTTTATTCTTTCCATTTGTGCATCGGGTATCCGCATCTTCTGCCATGGTTTGTGCAGTGGATGCGGTATAGGGTGGACCATGAGCTTCGTGGAAGATCAAAACGCAGGGATCTTCAGCGTTGGGTCTTTCACAGGTTGCTTAAGAGTTGTTGCTGTTGCTGTTTTGAACTCAGTACGTCTCTCCAAGTCGTCATCGGGCTTGAGGTCGCATCGAGAGAAGGTGTCTGGGGCTTCCAAGAGAAAGGCCTTGAGTGGTTGGGGTGGGAAGGGGGAGTTAGGGTGGCATGAGAGAGGGTAGGGGAGGGGCAGTTACATAGGATGATATGAAATCTTCTTGGTTCTTTCGGTAAAGTCACGTAGAAGGGAAATAATAAAATAATAAATAATAATAAATAATAAACCGTAATAAAATAATTATTTTTATTATTTTATTCTTTCCCTTCTACGTGACTTTGCCGAAAGAACAAAGAAGATGAATCGCTGCAGTCACGAAAGCTTTAAATCGAAAGATGATATGAAAGTCGAGCAAGGGAATTATTGCAGTTAATCCAAGGCTGCATTGCAAGCCAGTGGATGGGGATTTAGGTATTGCATTGACGATGATGTGGTAACATTGACGATGATGTGGTAACATTGGGATGATGTGGTAACATTGACGATGATGCGGTAACATTGACGATTACTAGCGAGGAGCCTGGGCACAGTTGTGTTTTGTATCATCTTGGCATTTTGTGAGAGGATTCGGGGAAGTCGTAGAGGAGCAGATCGCTGTGGTCGTGAGATGTTTCCAGTACGCGTACGGTCTCCATGCCTACCCAATTGGCAATCGGTCAGCAAGCGAGATAATCGCTGTTGCCTGGTAGTGCACTTTGTAAACACCCAGGAGGTGTTGTGTGTAGTGTGTGACTAATGCCAAAACCTGGCATACACGCCAGCACACCGGGGCGCGTGTTTATCAGATAATACTCTTTGCTTCTATCGGTAAAGTCACGTAGGTAGAAAAAATAAATCACGTTTCGATCGCAACACGAATGGCGTTATAGGTTGCTTCACCTGAAGACGGTTGCTTGTTTTGCGATGGAAACGTCGTGATCTATTATTTTTTCTACCCACGTGACTTTACCGAAAGAACCAAAGAGTATGGATTCCTGCAGTCACGAAAGCTTCAAATCGAGATTCATCCGATAATGTTTATATGCGCGGTAAATCGCTCTTTCTTTCCGTACATCTCTGAAAACTACTGGACATCCGTTAATAAAAGAGGTCGATAGCTCAACGGATTCCTCCTGCAGTATAAAGATATATCCTGAGTCTGAAATTCACCTGCGGCTCCATCTGTCTTGGCGTTCTCACCTTTGCTGTTGGCACAGTGCGACTGCGGCTTCTGGACTCGGTTGTGCACACAATGTTCTGTTGAAGGCGATAAAAATGTGAAGTAAAAAAAAACTCCCAATTTTATCCTGGGTCACACCAGCCCAATAACGCCATTCACTCTGCGTCACGAAGAGTTTCTCAGTTTTGCTGTCGCGAGGCATTTTGATGGACGGTGATGAAAAGAATCGACCCCAACTCGTTTCTAGGTGGGCTGGGGGGGTGGGGGCATAGGTGGAGTTTGGCTTTACAGGAATCGCGGGTGCATATAATGCATTTATTTAGTATCTTAATTGTAAACTACTGAAAATAAATTAACGGGTTTTTTTTGTTTGGGCCGTGAGAATTTCGAAGGGGGAGCCAAGGCTTCAGCAGGGGGGCGCTCGGCTTAATCTACCACCCCCCCCCCATGCCTCCCCCCCCGTAAACTCTGCCCATGGGGAGGGGGGGTAGATGAAGCTGAGCCCCCCCCCCCCCCCCCTCTGCCGAAGGCTCTGCTCCCCCTTCGAAATTTTCACGGCCAAATAAAACAAAAACTTTTGTGCAATAATTTCTGGCAGTGGTGGCGGTTCAGCCAACACCCACAAGGCACTGTTTGCAGTCGTTGGAGGCAACTGGACGGGCATTAAAAACTTCATGCGATTGAGCCCACGGGTGTAGCGTTACACGGAAGAGACAGGTGAGGTGAGAGACGGAGAAAAGCGTACACGATGAGAAGCTGTGGGTGGTGAGAGTGGCTTGGCTGTGTGTGGGGAGCGGCAGCGTAGTGGTTAGCGCGCTGTACTACAAACCCAGCGGCCCAGGTTCCATTCCCGGTCCCGGCCAATACCAGTGACGATTATCTGAACCGTTTCTGGGCCTCTCCTGGGTCCACTCGGCCTCAAATGAGTAGTTCGTGCAGTGTGTAAACATCACCACTGGGGAGATGAAGGCGGCCGGGCGTGGTGCTGGCCACCCACCTCCTCGTGTGCCGTGTCGGCCTTCATCATAACTGCTTCTCGCTAACAGCACTTGCCCCAACTGTTTCTTAAGGCTATATGGGGGAGAATCTTTGTCTTTTTGTTGTTGTTGTTGTTGTCAGGCTTCCCCGAGCGGCCCAGGAGGCTGCTGGTGTTCGTCAACCCCCAGAGCCACCGCAAGGAAGCGCCGGAGCTGTTCGCGTCGCGAGTGGAGCCGCTGTTCAAACTGGCCGACGTCGGAACGCACCTCATCGGTGAGCGGGTCTGCTCCGGGGAGACGCCTGCGTGCGCGCACTCCACGTTGTTGGCGGGCGCTGTCTGGACGAGGCCTGCGTTGTTATACAGCGCACCGTGCGTTACAGGTGTACAAAGGAGTTTTATTTTTATTTTTAAGTTGAACTTCATGTTGAAGAACTCTGCGAGGGATACACGCTGCTGACGTGTCAGGGACTGACCGCGTTGGACAGCCGAGTGAGTCACTTGTGGTGGATAAATAGTTGAATGTCTCGTTTTAAAATGTTAGAGATAGATTTACACGGTTGTAAATAGGTATGAGTTAATGTACAGCCCTTTTGTCAATCGACTGCTGGATGAAGGCCTTCTCTAGAAATAACAAATGATGTTGGTGACGCTGCTGCGTTGACCGTGGTGCACACACGCACCCTAAACAACTCGACACACTCGTCGACAACACTGAATAAGGGCCACAGCCCGAAACGTTCACCATTGAGTCCATGTATGGTGTTTGCAGGGCTACATGCCCGTAGCAAATTTGCGTGAAGTGTGTTTTGTAATCTGCCACATGGATCCATTTTACCGTGAAGGGCGCACGGTGCAATGCGGACACAGCAAGGTCGCTCGCTCAGCCCGCGCGTGCCCATGCCCCCCTGGCATCATGACCTTCACGTTGAGGTCAACGTTGAGGTCACCGTGCAGGTTATTGTTCAGTTTGTTAAATGTGCACCGAGGCCTACTTTTTAGAGCGATATTAGCACGTCAAATAAAGATTGGTTGAGTTTAAAAATCGGCTACCATTGGGCTCCCTTTGGCGATTAATATTTGATGCAGCTGTTAATCTTTAACGCCAAATCATACCAACACTGCGCATTAACACGTGCAATGGAAAGTTAAAGGTTGGAGCTGGGATAGCGTTAGGAGCAATGGTTAATGGATAGTAGGCATTTAGCGATGCACCAATTACTTAAATCAGACTCTCAGAATGATGTGCACATCAAATTGTGCGCTTAAATGATTTATTTACGATTTATGCAAATGTTATGCTGTTAGATTGATCTAAGGGAGTTAACTAGACAGAAGAAACAAGAGAAAACGAGACGAATGTTTCCTTGAAACCTCACCTCAAACAATGGCAATCGCTGTGGGGAATTAGTGGTTAATTATTATTACACAATTATACACGAAACAGTGAGCGTCAGGGTTGTGTGCCGCGTTGGAGAGATGTCAACTACACCACCTCAACCTGGCATGCAGGACGTCGTGTGGGCTCGATCCCGACCCTGCCACCTGTATATTTGGAGTTTGCGTGTCTCGTCTTGGTTGTGGAGATTTTTCTCTGGGTCCTCCGGTTTTTCCCTCCACGTTTAGAAACACGCAATTAGAGTTGTGTTTAGCTGCTATAAATGTCCACGTGACAAGCCATTTCATTGGGCTATCGTTTGTGGCCAGGTTGCTTCTGACAAAGTGAGCGAAATAGCTCAGTGGGCCTTACCTGGTAAGATAAAAATCGTTTAGATTTTAGTTCATGCATTATGCTGCTGTGGCTGTTAAAAGTGCGTCTCTCCTTTTTCTGGACAGTGACGGAGAGGGAAGGGCATGCCTTGGCTGAACTTCAGACTTGCGACCTCACCGGCTTTGACGGGTGAGCAGTTTCACTGTGCGAGCTTTTTAACTGTAAAGTGGATGCAATGCCAATGGCTTTTTGGTAACGACGCATAGCGGCTATATCCGTGAACAATAGACTATACGGTATTATTCTACACCAATTTAATTCATTGATCGGTGTTCGTTCGTTGAATGTAATACTCGGCAGCATGATGTATTTCTTTTAAAAGTACGTAAAACATCGTGGTGTCACATCTTCTATCCAGTGCTTGGAAGAAAAAAAAAGAACACGCAAGGTTATTTTGTCTAAGTGGAACAGGCTTAATGTTTACCTAGTGTGCTGTTAAAGCGCATGAGTCAAGTGTCAATGAAGCAGCATTGTGTGGGGTGAATGGGGCTGGGGCTTGTGGTTGTCCCCAATGGCTGAAACGTGTGCGCTCTGCCTGCACTCTGTCTGCACTCTGCCTGCGCTGCGCCCTTTTCTCGCCGCGGCCACCACCTACGAGCCGTGGGGGGCCAGGGCCGCCCCCCCCCCTCCGCGCTCGTGCCGCTCGTGGTGACGTTTGCGGTGCTCCTCGAGCAGGGTCGCCCCGAGGTTCCTGGCGGCCTGGGGCAGAATGCGACGTGGGAGGGAGGGAGCGCGGGGAGACTTGTTAATGAGCCAGATGAAGGAGGCCTGTTATGTGGAGGCGTTTTTTTTGTGCGAGGAGGGGGGGGGGGCCCTGGGCGAATTTCCCCTTTTGCCCTCCACACCCCCCAGGCGGTCCTCAGCCCCCCACTTGCCCCCCCCCCCCCCCATAGCGGTAGTTTTAATAAGCGGTGCTTTGCCGACGCTCGCGAGACCACGTGGCTCGGTAAGAGGTCACATGGCGTGGTTCTTGCGCGCCGTCGGTGTATCGTGAAATGAGCTCAACTTGTGGGGTTGCTATCGGTCCTGACTCGTGAATTGCCGTATTTCTGTCGTTGTTTCATTCACTGCACTCATCATCACAAAGGGTACGTAGCCAACCCCGCTAATGGTGTATGCATCCGGCGTGGTGTGCATTTGTTCACATTGCAATGCAGCAAGCGTGTGTGTGTGGTGTACATTGTTGATGTATTCGCGGCGTTGCATGCATCCGTCCCCAGTGTGGTGTGTGTGGGTGGGGACGGCACGGTGGCGGAGGTGGTGAATGGGCTGCTCTTGCGTGCTCAGCGTGATGTCGGCACGGACCCCGACGGGGCCTTCACGCCAGTGCCCACTCACTTGCCCATCGGCATCATCCCCGCAGGTTTGCACCGCCCTGGCGAATGTACGAACAGCTGCTTCACGATTTCAGTATTGGGAGTTTGCCATGTGGGCTATCGCGCCGTGTGGTGCCACGTGTTCCACGTGCGTTTTGTTATTTGTGGTCGCGTGCCATCGTGGCCATCAAAAAATGTGCTGCCAAAGCGATCCGTACGATCAAGAGCCACGTTGCGTATTTGTGTTTTTGTGCGCAGGGTCGACGGACGTTGTGGCGTTCTCCATGCACGGGACGAGCCACGCTGCCACGGCTTCGCTGCACATCATCCTAGGTCAGCCGTTGGCGTTTGACTCCATTCGTGCGGTGCCTTGGACATTCCCTTCGGCCGCGCGATGAAACTATCGTGCGGAGAGGCGCGATGGGGAAGAGGCTGTGGGGCGTACTGGTCCGACGCGTACCTCCTCGCGCTATGATGGAAACGTCCCTCTGCTATGATGGTAACGTCCCTCCTGCAGGCCACCTGCTACCGGTGGACGTGTGCTCGCTGGCCGTGCGGGGCCGATTGCTCCGCTTTGGCTTCTCCGCCATGCTGGGCTTCGGCGGGAGAAGCCTGGCGATAGCCGAGCGGCACCGCTGGATGCCGCCTAACCAGAGGAGGGACTTTGCGGTCCTCAAGGCTCTGGCCAGTTTAAGGTGGGAAGGGGGGGCCCCGCCCCCCGCCCCTTTGCCCCACCGTTGACACCCCAGCGAGGAAAGGAACGGCGACCGCGCTCGTAGTTTTGAGCACGGGGCTCTTCGTCGCCTGAGCACCTCGAGTCCACCGTCATGGGCTAATTTATCTGGATTCGCAGATCCTTAACCATTTTGTGGATGTCTTAACAGATGACCACGTGCCATTTTATTTAAACGTGAATAGGGTCATCCGACGTAAGCCCTGCCGGTTGCAAACGTTGACGTGCGTCCGTCATTAACTCGTGCAAGTAATCAATATCCAGTTACTCTGCTCCAGTGCTTTGTGTGCCAAATCTGTGCATCCCATTGCCCTCGCCGTGTTGTTACTAGTGGCCAGGGCAACCGCGTGTAATTCCAGAAGGTGCAGCTAATGAGGGGGGGAGGAATTGTTCCCTTCCAGGCCAGTGGACTGCGAGATCGGCTTTCTGCCCGCGAGTGAAGGTGCGTCAGGACAGACAGCAGAAGGTGCACGGTAAGCCGCCTTTTGTATTGCTGCCAAGCGCTATTATTGTAAATGCCACTCGTAACACACGAACCAGCCGTTGCCCATTCTTTCACCGGATTTTCTTTTTGTTGCGTAGGGCACTCAAGAGGTGGGATTCATCTGCAAAGATTCGTAAGTAGAGTTTGCGTGCACTGCCATTGTGAGTGGGGGGGTGTGGGTGGGTGGTGCGCATAGTGGGGGAGGGGGGGTGGGGTGTTGTGTTGCTGTGGGTGGCCCAGGTAGCTGCAGCTGCCCCTGTCGGCCGCGCGCATCTGCAATGTCGGCGCAGCCGGCGGTGCGCAGGTTGGCGCAACGGGGGAAGACGCGTCTGGGCTGCTGTGGCTTCACACGAGCGGGGACTTCCTCAACGTGACCGTGGCGGCGGTGCCCTGCCGCTGTGCCGTCGCTCCCCGCGGACTGGCTCCCGACACGCTGTAACGAACGCACACACCTACTCGTGCGCGCAACCGCGTGTGGACGGTTCCTTCACTCCCAAAGTCATATCGATCACTTTCATTGTGGGGTGCCTGGTGATGCATCAACTACTTCTGTGTTTTTATTGTTTTATATTTTTATAATTTGATGATTTCCCTTCTACGCGACTTTACCGAAAGAAGCAAGAATACATTTCCTGTAGGTTGAATGCACGTGGACTACGTTGCTTGGCGATAGTTTCCTTTACATTTTAGTAGTTTAATTTAGTGAGAACAATAATGTTATTTGTAACAAGCGGAGCCAAGCTCGGTGGCACTTGAAAGTCGGGTGAAAGTGTGGCCTTGAAGTGCCTCTCAATTCGGTGTAGATTAAACGCTATTACTACGAACGTGCAGCGGGATGGCGTTCCAGACGGTGGGGGGTTGCCGCAGAGGAACGACGCCTGGCAGCGATGGTCCCGGTCCAAACAACAAGGCCAGATATTGGACTGATATCTGCAGTATTAGTTTTGTTTTGTTTCCGGATTGTCCACTGCGGCTGTTGTTACACGTTGAGTGTCACTAATGTTAGGAATATAGCGCTGCTGCTGCTGTAGTCCACCCAGGTGTGAGTTGCACGCATATGCTGTGGTTGCAGGCTGGACGACGGCAGCATGTCGCTGATCGCCGTGCGCAGCACGACTCGTGCCCATTTCGTCAAGTACCTGAAACGTTTCGGCAGCTCCAAAGCGCAGGTATCTTTGCACCGTGCTGCGGGGCAGCGCAGCTTGGGCACGCCGGCAGCATGGTCGGCCCGCACACAAGCGCGGAGCTGCACACGAGCGCGGAGCTGCACACGCAACTCGCGTGGTTTTTCCCTACCTGGACGCTTTGCGTTTGGCGAGCGACGTCCACTCCATCCACGAGGTGGCCATGCGTACATTGTGTTCTCTCCGTGCAGCCGAACCCACCGTTTGTGGACAGCATGGCGGTGCAGGCGGTGCGCGTGACCCCTAGAGGTCACCCGTCTGGGGAGGACGGCTCCTCTCGGTGGGGAGATGGGGAGGGCGAGACCGCCGGGGCGGCCACAGACGGGCGCTGCTTCTGGAACGTGGACGGTGTGCTGCTAGAAGAGACTGGTGAAGTGCACATCAGGTCCGCTGTGGCTGCCAGCACTCGTCACAGAGCCAGCAGCACATCCACTGCACGGCATACTCTCGGTTACCGCCTTGACGTTTTTATTGGTTCTCGCACATTCTGCGCGGATGGGCACGTTCACCGACGACTTGCACCGCTGTGGTTTTTATTGCAGGGTTCACACTCGCCTCGTGACGCTGTATGGCTGCTCCCTTGGCCATGATGATGAAGACGCTGCCATGAAATGCAACTGCTTGTGATGCTTTTGATACTTGTGGTGCTTGTGATACTTGCACAAAGGATTATGAGAGCGGACCGGTTGAGGGAAGCACAAGGCCGAGACCAAGAGGAAGCCAGGGAGTGGTGGGGACAGGTACCAGCTCCTGGTGGCTCGCATTGATGAGCGGGCAAGGATAAAACCACACTTTTTAAGCAGTAAGGATTGCTTTGGAAAGGTTTTATGAAACAGAAAAAACACTTTTCCCAAAGGCACTTTAAAAATAGGGCAAATTTGTACATATATATAACCGCTATTTTGGAATTATGAGCAGGTAAAATCATAGCAACCAAACATATATTGGAGTGTTTACTGGACTTGTACATGGAGCCCGGTTTAAATGTCAGTGGCAAGTTCACACGTTTTGCCATCGAGGCCCCCATGGGAGCGACCTGGTTACCTTTGCAGCTCCTTCTCAGGAGACCACAACAGCACATGGGGGGGGGATGATCCTCGGTGGGGGACATCAGCCGCACGCCCATCTGGACGTCACAGCACTTAGCTCCACGCACTCTCACGCTGCCCACCACGGTCTGCCACAGCAGCCGTTTCACACGTGCAGCGATTTAGCCTCGGGTCACTTATGACGTCTGTTCAGAAAGCAGGTATCCGTGGGCTTTAATGACAATGACTTATTGGGACATTTCACGTGGATCGTCGTTATTCAAGCTTCATTTGCACAAAACCCTTTGCGGTTTAGATAAATGTAATTTACTGTCCGGTCATGATCACCACATGAAATGTCCCGTTGGATTAACAGCGAGATTTACAAGGCAATAACATGAACGTTGATCGTAAAATCAATGCTATGATTTAAATATATGGCATATAAATCGGGTTTGCTCACTCATTGCTGTGCAGTGTGAAGTGCATAAAAGAACGATTCAACTTCGAGTAATTTCCAAATAAAAGTTTATACAAACTTTTGAAATCTGAATAAACATTTCATTCAAGCCATCACCATACATTACAAATACACTTATCGGGAAGCCATCCATTATATACACCCACAAGCATCTCAATGCCAACTCCTGCTTTCCAAGTACAGGTGCCATGCAGTTCCACCATAAATACCTTTCGCAATTTGGGATGGCAAGCAGTGTACAGTCACTAGAGCAGCAGCAACCATCACCAAGGCACAGCATGTGTTGGACAGCTGCTACACAAGGCAGCTGCTCACTTAAAGCAACATCTGCATATTGCACAATCACGGGCCAATCACCCACTGCTTGCTCCACAAAGCAACCTGCCATATACAACTCTTTACATTATGCCAAAAAACAAATACCCTTACCCCAAAGAAACCCGAAAACCTCATCTGCATAGCTTTAGATCAGTAGTCCCACTCCAGTTCCCACAGCCCATCATGACCCACCTCTCTCCACCACAGCTCATACGTGAAATGCACTTCTCTGTGGTGGCAGGTGGCCCATGGCGCAATTCTGCTCCTGCAGACTCGTCTGTCTTGGAAAGCTGGAGGGTGTCGAGCCAGTGGTTTAGTGTTCTGCATTCAAGTCCTGCGTATCGCGTCTACAGTATTCTGCGGCCACACGTGACAGCCGTGACGTGCGTGCGTGTGGCTGCTGACAGTTTAGTGGTGGGGGGGGTGAGGTTGTGTTGTCGAGTAGGTGAAGGGAGTGCAGGATGGTGGACTCGAGCCAATCCCTCCTCATAGGCGCCACTTCTGTCACACACAAGAGAGTCGTGAGGGGTAGTAGTTAATGACATCGGCCAAAAACTCGCTGGCACCCGCATGCTTGCTTGGCCCTGCTGCTTGGCTGAGATTTCCCAGCAGAAGGCAAACATTTGCAGGATATCGGATTCTTGCGCTTTGCGCAACACTTTCATCAAGAAGAGCAGCGACCTCGCTGTTTTAACGATCCATATACAAGCCACTTAACCCAAATGAGCAACCGCTATGAGGTTGGTTTTTATTTTTATTACCAACGGGAGCTAGGCAAGCATGGGGGTGCCTCCATTGTTGTCATTTTATTTTCAGGTGGCTCTTGTTATTCAAACATGACAGCTTCTAAATGCTAATGTGTTAATACAAGCAAGGCGGAAAGCCACTCACCAAGACAAACGGCCCTCACCGTTGGTAAACGGCAAACTGGGGGCACACAGGACAGCAAGTTAAGCGCCAACGAGGAGGGGCGGCCAGGGAGCCACCCCCGAGGCACGCCCCTCGCAAGCAGACTACAGCACAAATGTGTTCATTTAAAAAAAACGGGCAATACTTATTCATATTTGTGTGAACATGCACAATGTTTACTCGATTGCCCTCTTTCAAAAATGAACTTCCGTTCCGCTCATTCTAATATCTGCCAACGTGACTTTCACTCCCATGCAGGAGGTGCACCTTGGTCATTCCCATGTCTGCAAAATGGGCAAATTGGCAATAATCGGGAAGGTCAAGGAAGCTGTCGGCCATCGCCTGCATGTACGGCAGGAGCTATCGAGGGGGGCTGGGTGGTGCTCATGGTCAGTGGAAGCCACGTGCAACAGTGTTAAGGGAGACTAGGCCTGAGTGAAGGCCTTGAGGAGCAGACACACACAATGCCTTCTTGCAGCCCTTGCCAGCAAAGACCCCATTTGTTTATATTCACAAAATATGGAGCACTGTATGCATTAGTGCATGCTAAATTATTTGAAATCGCAATACTTAATTTTCACAAAACATTGTGCCAATTAGTGATGCAAATATTAAATACTTTTAAACACAACTGAACTCAAGCTGCATATCAGAAGCCCTTTAAAAATTATGTTTCCTGAGAACCTGGATTTAAATATACTCGGAAAGAACAAGGCATATAAGTGGGTTACAATGTAGGAAACCAACACGCTCACGTGTAGTAGGGCTCAAGAAATGTCTTTTGGAGAGTTGTGGCACGGAAGCCATCAATTCGGCAAGCAAGGGGTTTGTAAGGAGGGCGGAGGAAGGACTTCTACCGAAAGTTTCCAGCACTCGCACGCTAACCCACGAGTATAACGATGACAGCACACAAGGGCATGAACACACGCATCCAAGCTAGTGTGCGGATTCGCCACAATGGCACGCTCAGGCATATGCACAGCATACTCTTAGGTTCTTTCGGTAAAGTCACGTAGGTAAAAATATATATATATAATAATAAAATTATAATAAATGAAAATAACTCAATTAAATCACGACGCTTCAGAGGCAACACAAGTCTCCGTCTTCAGGTGGGACCGTCACAGCTAAATGTACTGTATCAAGTGAAGAGAAATTTGGCTGTGACGGTCCCACCTGAAGACGGAGACTTGTGTTGCCTCCGAAACGTCGTGATTTAATTGATTTATTTTCATTTATTATTATTTTATTATTATAATTTTTTTACCTACGTGACTTTACCGAAAGAACCTAAGAGTATGAATCCTTGCAGTCACGAAAGCTTCAAATCTAGAATATGTACAGCAGTGGAAGGGGGGTACACGCACGGCCCGTCACCACCTGCCGATTGCGCCGCCGCCTTTGTGTCTCACCGTGGCGCGCGCCTCCTCGCGCTCCATCACCTTCTCACTGTGCTCTGGTGTGAACTTGAGCACCGTGGTGATGACTTTGGCCAGCGTCTACGACACGCCGACACGCCGACACGCCGACACACCGACACACCCACACACCGACACGCACGAACGGTGACGAGGCAAGCGATGACGTGGGCATTGCCACGTGTCCAGGGAGCATGGGGAGCAGCTTCCGTCTCAGACTCGGATGGCATCACAACAGGTATTGCCATTGTGGCTTGGGTGGCTGGTTGCATATTTCAATTATCAATGAATTCAGTGTTATTTTCAAAGTGTTGTTTACAGTTTTTAATCATGACAACAGAGTAATTGCAAATTGTACAAAGAAACGCCAGTCTTTAAAATCAACATGGAAGCACGAATGCCATCTTCTCACTCCCAGACGGAAACGGCTGGTGTGAGGCAGTAGCTTTTGTTACAATAGGCGTTCACACGCACCAGAGTAATACAGCACCACGGCTAATGGGGAGGGGGCAAAACGTGCAAGCGAGTGAGATCTGTTGTGTTTGCGAGCGGGTGCACGTCAAGGTAGGAACGGGCGTGGTTTGTGGGAGCAAATATGGATCAAGCAGGAATTGCAGGTGCAGGGATATTGAGAATCTAAAGTGATTCTTTCTGTACAGCATGCCCCTCGCTCGTCTTACTCTGTGCCTAAGTGCAGTTCAACAGAGGAGGCACGGTTCTTAACGACAGCCGCTGCATTCTACCCGGCCATCCCCACTGTAACTGTGCAAGAGGCAGCGACGTGTCGCAATGCTAATGGAATCCACAGCCACAAAAAGATTTGTGTTGGCGCTCGAATCTTCAGTGGTTTCACTCAAAGACAAAGCTGCCGGGGGTAACCGTCCTGCAGAATGGTGAATGCGGCATTTGGCTCTGACAAACGGGACTGCGAGAGACTAAGCAGATGGCAGACGAGCAAAACCAACCTGGGTGCGCAAGAGCAGAGCCCAAAAAAAAAGAAATTCTTCGCTATTAGAAGCCAAATGATAGGGGAAGCCAGGGCTGGCTGAGAAGCGACTTCTACCGGCGCGCACTGGTGATACGCGTTTGTGTGAATGTGCACACCAACGCACAACACACCACAGCGTGCACAAATGTCTAGTCAAACGCCAACGTATGGCGACGATGAATGTAATCCATAGGTTGTCCTCCCACCCCAACTGCTCAGCATTAAGGGAGTATTAATACAGAGCTTTTCCACTCCAGCAAAAAAAATTGCACTCATACTACCAAGATAACCCATTGTGTACCCTTTGTACCGTTTCGATATTCCACAATCCGATGTGTTATAATCAGTATCATAGTCAGTATTAGTGCAGTGAAAAGTATAATATATGTTTCCAGAACATTTCGGAACTGCTGGGTGACGAGTTTTGTAAAAACAGACTTTGCCTGGCCAAGCCCAATGGCTGTGTGGATTTAGTGAATCGGCACTGGCACCTGCAGGTGAATGTGTGGCATCCTCAACCCACATACCTTAGTCTCCCGCCCCATCATGTACTCGAATAGTACTTTCCGCAGGTACTCAAACTCTGTCGGCTCTCCCGACAAATCATGACTCCCATGTGCGCCTGCGCACACACACACAAAGGGACACATTCAGTACAGCATGCAACCTTGGTCAGAATAAACACATTCCTGCAGAGGGAGCTGGTAGGAATGTTGGGTTGCTCGGTCAATGGCCAGGGTCAACGGCGGCGTGGTGTATTCCGCAAATATGGCCGACTGTGAGGGTGGGCACTAGCCAGCGTGAGTAGATTAAACGTTGAGTTTTATAAGGGCACCACGGGGTGACCAGCCCCTCCCCACCCAGCCCCACCCTCCCCACCCTCCCCATCCTCCCCACCCAGCCCCACCCTCCCCACCCAGCCCCTCCCCACCCTCCCCTCCCCACCCAACCCCTCCCCACCCATTTTTGGATGAACGATGGACGGACGGACACAATAATCCCCTGTGGGCTGGTGTAACCAGGAGGTTCCTACCAGTATTATTCATTCCAACTGGGCAAGGGGTAATGGTAACCGAGTGTTGTGGGCAGTGTGTGTATCTCGGCCCACGAAGGCCATCAAGGAACGGGTGAGTGTGACGGGACGACGGGGTGCTAGCCCACCTGTGTACGATGCCCCAAACGGAAGAGCCATTCGCTTCTCGTAAACATTCACCTGGTCCTGTAAGGAATGAATCTGCAGCACGGACACCACGAGCGAGCACATTAGAAACACACCTCCACAGGTCTCGCTTGTCGACAGACGTACGTCCATCTGTACTGCAGAAGCCATCACAGTGTGTGCGTTATCAATGTACCAAAGACTAGGCGGCCTGCGAGTGCGGCCACGAATCCCAAACCATCAA